TGACCTCGAGCAATCGCCGCCTCGCCTCCCAGAGTGCTAAGATTACAGGCGTGAGCCACACGCCCGACCAGTGCCCCCAAGTTTTGCAAGTAAAGTCATAAAAGAATCAGAACCAAATGACCCGGGAATGCAGTTAAAGCTCTTTTTCCTTATCAGGTGGATGGCATTGGGCAACTAACCTCTCCAGGCCTGGTCCCTCATCTGGAAAATGAGCCCATGCCGCCGCACAGAGCTCTTATAAGGACTGAGGGAGCCGATGTATACAAAGCACTAAGCATCTATTAAGTGCCACTCATTTTATTTACTGTTTGCTTTTAGTTATTTTTTATTTATGCTTAGGAAGTACATTAACACTGACAGCACAGTATCTTTCAAAAGTATCGAATGTGATACTTTTACGTAAACAAATGAAAATTAGAGTGTAAGTGTCATGTCATTGATGGCCGTTCAGTTTCTCTACCTGGCCGCAGCGTCCTCCTCCTCCTCCTCCGCTACCCTTCACGTGCGTCCCTCACAAAGTTTTGCTCTATTGTTCAACCACCTTTCCAAGTTGGACAAAACCATACTTTTGTCAAAGATATACAAGACCCTGCACTTTGCAGGAAAGAGAAAGGAAAGGCTAAGGCAGGGCAAGTCCAAGTTCAGGGGCCTCGGGTACCAGCCTCCTCGGCTCTCCTCGCACCCACAGCCGCCTGGCTCAAGGCCATTGTCACCCTCTCTCCATCGACTGCTCACGGCTCTGCTGGTAGGTGGATGTTTACTGCTGTAACCTCACAACAGTGAACAGGGACAAGAATTCCTCTCCCTGCCTTCCTGATGCGATTATTTGTATTAATATTCCAATCTCACTTCCATCACGGGCGCCCAGATCTGGCCTACGAGGGTCCATTTGCAGTCCCCGCTGAGCCCGACAGCCTGGCTCTGTTCCCATTCGTGTTCTCATTTCCACTTTAAAAACTAGCAGGTTCTCGAAATCCAACGGAAGATGACCTCTCCTCAATAAGAACACGGTGAGTCAGGGGCTGCTTTTTCTATCTGTAAGAAGTGATGTGAAAAGGGGCCAAACATCAGCCTCCCGGGGAACTGGTACACATGATGGCACTGGGCAAGGTTGGAATCCTCATGCTGGTAACTTGGTTCTGTCTGGAATTGTGCCTACAATTAAACCGATTTCCTAGAAGTGAAAACTGAGACTATTGAAGTGTAGGTTAGTTAGTTATCTATCATTTAAGGCTCTCACTCGGTACCCATACATAGAGGAACAAACACGGGAAAATGTCATTTCTATAGAAGTTAATTCTTGATCTTTGTTAAGCACCAGAAGCGGATTAACTACTTTCTGGATATGTCGTGCTTAAAAAGAGAATAAGGCTAGCACATGCTTTGGCTCGTATATTTGGGAGTGGTGTGGGCAGTAGTGAACAGAATTTCTATCATTAATAGAAAAGAATATTTTCTAATTCTTCTTGGTAAAGGAAGAGGAGTGCCCAGGATTGGGATTGTCTTTGTGTTTTGAAAGGCTTCATGATGGGGCTCTGTAGGATGCCAATGTTTAAACGCACACACTCTATAAAGTCAAAACGTAGTACGTGCTGGCCGGGTTCTCTTCTTCAGTGCTGTCATTATAGAATTTTAACCCTTCCCACGACCCACAGAGGCTGAGGAAGGATGGGAGTCAGAAGGCCAAAGTCTAGTTTGTGGTCCTGTTGGTACCCATCTACTTAGGATCTGCCGTTGATTTGGTGGCATTTGGGGCTGCCACTCCGTGTTTCCATCACCTATGAAAGATTGGTAATAATACAGACTTCACCTTCCTCCAAGCGATATGCCGACTCAATATAACTAAGCACTTTGAGGTCCCTATATTAAAAGAAAGTATTACTAAAAACCCCCAAAAATGGGGAAAAAAAACAAGATAGGAAAGTTTATGGCTGCTCTGGTCTCCTACCTCCGAGTAAAGCTACAATGGCTATAGGCGAGACCAGGCCAGGACTGCGGCCACAGGCTCTGCAGTTCAACCCGTCTTCTGCCCTGGTATTCTGGGAGCCCTCTGGCAATTTATTTAAACACTCCATGGCTCGACTTGCTCGTCTGTGCAATGGGTATAATGATACTCACTACCTCACTCACGTTTAATTAACGATGTATAAAGCTTTTGAAAATATAAAGTGCAATGTATGTGCTAATTATTATAAATCCAAAAAAAGCACCACAGTTCAATTTTTAATTACCTATATATATTTTATTGAAAATAACATAAAGCACACAATAAAATTAACCCAGGTGTCAAAAATTATTGCTTGCCTGTGCCGTCTTGTTCATCCTTCTGCCAGAATTAGAGTAGCAATTTCCTAAACTAAAGTCATAATTTCATTGAAATGGTAGAAGTTCAACCAATACGAGCAGGCCTAACTTGTGATTTACTGTGTTATAAAATGTCGTCTCCCACTCGTGCCTCAATTTCCCTTAGTTATTATAACTCAATTAACGTAGCACTAGAACCTATTACCAACATGTTATAATAAAATTAAATCCGATCGAGTTTTATGCCAATGTCAAGTTAAAGAGTTTAAATATGGAAGAATGGCTTCATTTTTTATTTAGGTTTTTGATTGATGAATAACCTTAAATAGTCCATAAAAGGAATAGGTGACAACAAGTGGGATTAATTCCTGTGCTTGCAACAGGGAGCATGCCCTGTCCTGCTTGGAAAAGTTGGCCCTCGCCGTTGTGACTGTTCTATCCCAGACTCCCCTTCCCTTCTGCCCTCCCCGAGGCTGCCCGCAAGCTGCTGAGACACGAGACACTGTGTGTGCACCTGGCCCGGGCCCGGGAACACGCCTGCCGCCATCGAGTCCTTGCTGTGGCTTAAACTCACATCGCCGGTCCGCCTGGCACACACCCAAGGTTTTTGGGGAAAAGCGAAAATGGCTAAATGGGGTGGTGGTACATACACCGTTAGACGAGGAATCTAATGTTCCCAGAGAAGTGTCCCCCCTACCTCAGCTATGGGTAGGCTGAGAAAGGGAGAGGAGATTTAATCAGCTTCCTCTGGAGTCGTTTTATTTTTTTTACGAGCTTGATTACGATGCATATGAAACATTTTAAAGTTTGAGTGCTACCTATAAACCTGTTCCCTCTATGCTAATTGCTCTCCATAAAACCAGATCAAGAAGTAGGGCTCTCGCCCGGTTCAAGTCCGAGCATGCCTGTTGGGCACGAGTTCAGAGGGCCCCGGTGCTATCTGGCAGGGCCTGTGGAAACAGATAGCCTGATGGATGAGTGATAACAGAGACATCCTAACAACAGGCAAGTGGCCTTGCAAGGAACTCAAGGTGACGGAAAACAGGGTACAGTAAACAGTTTGTCATCGCAGACGTTTCACAAGAGAACACGCTTGGAAGGGAGGAGACACCACGTTGCAGCCCGAGTGACTCACCCGCGCTGCGGGCTGATCCCCCGCCAGGACCCGCGCAGACCTCCCGCGACACCTGTGAACTGGCGTCGGAGCAGCCATGTCAACAGCTGACACCGAAAAGCAGGAACCCAAGTGAACCGGCTCGGAGTGAATTTCCTCCTCTCGAGCGGCAATCCGCAAGCAAGGCGACTCCTGGCCAGACTTGCCCTGCCTCCCCACGGATCTCACGAGAACAGCCACCAGCTCTCATCTCCGGCTCTGCTATGCTTCAGGGAACCCCCAAACCCAAGGACTAGCCGGACCCGAGCAGGATCTTGGAGCTCTTCGCCTGGATCGGACACTGCCGATGAAGTGGCCTCAAAAATGTGCGCTCGCTCACACGTCTTTCGTGCAGAGTGACAAGCTCTGGAACCTCGCTGCCTCCTCGCCCCGGTCTCCAGCAAGCCTGGGAGAGTGTCGTGCACCTTGCCCAAATCCTGCCTGCCCCGTCTGAAGGCTGAGCCCTCCTGTTATATCCTTCGTAGAGAAATCCCTTTACGGACCCATGGTTGGAAAAGCTCCTCTTTTTATAATCCTTCCCAGTGTTCTGTGTGGATGATAAAAAATACCAATTCCTTTAGCTTAAGCCACCAAACCTTGGGAGATGGCATGGTTCGTAACGAGATACCACTGATCCCACCCAGGCCACTCTCACGCCAACACAACGAGCAGCGTCAAAGCTCTTAGGAAGGCCTTTGAGGAATTTGGGCCCGAAACACTGACTTATTAAAGGCTCTCTCTGTGCCGTGTCTAGAAGGCAAGAAGAGAGGAGAGGAGGGTGTGTGTGCACGCACGCATGTGTGTACGTGGTTTTAGCTAAAGTGTTAGCACCAACATGCTCGCACTTTTTCCTGCAGGCGAATTCACCACTAACAGCTTTGGAACAGAACTAACTTTCCCAGCGGTTCTGATGCCAGGATCCATGATTTCATACACAGAATGAATCGGGCAATGGGCCTAGAAAAATGAGAGTAACCGATCACACGAATTTTAAGGGTCACAGGAGAAAGGTAACCGATTATATCTCTCAGCAGTTCCAGTCAGAGTTTTGCAAACACTTAAAAGATGGCCTTTGCACCTCCTTGAAGATGAATTCTGCAAGAATTACAGAACCAGAAAAGGTCTCCCGAGTCCTAGCTGCTGGGCCGCTGAAAGGTGGCCTAACATGGAAAGACTGAGTACACCTCTGAAGTGGCCTGTCACTAAGGATTAAACTAGCATGGAAAATCATTTCTCCCTCAATAATATTGAGGGTAAAAACCCCAATAAAATATTAGTCTGTTTGGAGGAACAAAATGTATTCCAGCTTGCAAAAAAATAATGATTATTTTCTTAATTTTACTAGTTGGTTAATATTTCTAGGCAGGCCACAGCAAAACAAGCTGAGACCAGACGTTACCTTTTTATCTATAAAGCTACTTTCTGGGTTTTGTTGGATGCCTTCTTCTAACTTCATATTGCATTTGTTGAGAAAAGATCTCGATTTCTCACTTTTACCGATGAAATAAGTTAAAGCTTAAAAAAAAAAAAAAGCATAACTTACAGGGAACATTTGGGAATGCCAGGATTTCATTGGAGCTGTTGAAAGGGTAGAAATGAGTTCTTCTAGGGCAAAAAAGAGAGAGAGACCTGATCAACATCCTCTTTTGCATGGTACTACAATTTTCCTCTTTCATCTTACCCTTTTATGAGAGCAAATCATAGATCTGATTCCAAAAAGAAATCATAACTTGGCTGATAATAGCATCATAGAACATTGAGCACATGTTGACTTTAAATTGATTAGCCATCTTTGCTTAAGGAAAGCGAGCTATTTAGCCAAATGAAATGTAATAACACCGTGGAAGGACTGATCTCCCCCGAATTAGTTCTAACATGGGGACTGATCCCAAGCAGGTATAATGTGGGAAGTAGTTACTCCACAGTACTGGTCAGCAGGAAGTTGAGGGGTGTCACACTCAACAACTATATTCAACATAAAAATCACACCCAGAAAATAACCGTAATAAAGCAATCCCTTCCTAATGTCCTTTTCTATGAATTTGGTGTGGTTCTCACCCCTAGGATGAACTGTGCCACCTCCATTGTCTCAGCAGATTAGTCCGGCGAATGGGAAATAAAAAGGGAAACATTTGCCTATTTTCATCAGAAGGATAGTCTCAGACCCGTGGCATTCTCCTGCTGTCCAATACACCCAGAGCCAAATGAACACTGTGGGGAAATAAATATGTTTTCAGAATGACAATTTAAGACCAATTGAACCTAAACTAACAGGACTAGGAATAATATTGTCATAGCTATTCAAACTGATTCTGAATCCCACGGGAAGTTGGAGATAACTGCTATCACATATCACAGCAATCTCAGCTTCCCAGCGATGGGAGAGAATTAGCGTTTATCCAGAATCTTCTATGTGCTAGACACTGTACAAGGCATTTGCACTTGGATTTAATCCCCGCAACCGGGACAGATATTCGGCTGGTCTGCTCGGCTACCAAGTCCCGGCTGGTGTCCGGCACAGTTGGCCAGACATCAGTTCCGATTGGTCTGTGTCCTGAATGACCCTTCACGAGCACTGTTATTATTATCTCAGTATTTATAAATGTAGAAACTAGAGTTCGTGTAAGTAACTTCCCCGGGGGACGGGGGGTCACACAGATTTGAAGGGGAAACACATCCAACCTCTGCTTCCTCTGCCTCACTTATCTCTTTATGTAATCTACTGCATGCCTTCACTCTGCTGAGAAAACTGAGGCTGCATTTGGGTTTAATTTTTCCCCAGTATATGCTCAGGAAGGCAAATAGTGTCACATGAGTACGTCTGTAGTATTCTTTGAGGACCATGTTTACAAAGCAGTTGAGTCTGGCCTATTACATATACTTGAAAAGAAGTTTTGTGTTTTTAAAAATATGTTGAACAGCATTGAGTATTTACTGTGCGTTCCTAGAGCATGCCAGATAGACGACGCCTGCCAAGTACTCACTGTGCAAGGTGCCTCCAACCATCCGTGCAATGACAGTGTGGCCCAGAAGCATGGCTTGCCTGGAGTGGAAAACAGTATCAAAACTGGGAGGAACATCAACATTCCTTCAGTCCCATCACCCCGCCGACGTGTCAGGTTTTACACCATCTTCCAAACAAATGGCCTCTCAGCCTGCGCCTGAACCTTTGCAAAACCAGAGAACTTGTCTTTGGACAACTGTCATTCTGTTAGAAAGTTCTTTCTTACAGCTTCAAATCATTGGCCTTACGTTGGGAAAAAATTGCAATGCCTCTTCCACATGGTAGCTCTTCAAGTGTTTGTAGACAAAGACAGTTCGTCTTATACTCCCATCACCCTTTTCTTCTCCAAGATAGTCTGTCCAAGTTCTTCAACTATTTCTTATATGACCTCCTTTCAATGCACCCCAATGTATATAATCCTCTCAACTGAAGTGGCCCGAACTAACTCAACATTCACTATTTAGCCTGGCTGCAACGAGGCAAAGCATCTTCTTGCAGAGTAGTTAGGAATACAGAACACAGAGATAAAAAAAGTTCTTTGAAAGCATTGTACAGTGCTATATAATAGATAATGCCAAATTATATAGTAAAAGCTACAGATATTGGACAAAATTGATACCAAGGCATTCAAACCAGAGAAGTTTTGGATCATCCTGCTCCCTTCAGTCCTTTTGGTGGAAATCAGTCCTAAGAAATTTTCTAATAGCCCAAAACTCTCATAAACTCTGCTGTCCCAGGTTATTCAGACAGTCATGACAAGAATTAAAGGTGCTAACTGGATTTCTGGCATTTCCTTTCTTCTTCTTCTTTAAATGTTTTGCATCTAAAGCATGGGTTTTTTTTAATGGGTCATTAACAGGTTTTAATTTTATAAAACATTGTGCAACCAGATACCTTAGGGGACAGCAATTAACTTGGATTATGTTTTCGTTTCAGTGAATTCTAAATGAGAAGCCCAAATACTGATTTTTGTCTATCACCAAATGGGAAAACACACAGCTGGACTCATTTCTTAAGTATATTTCTTTGCTTCCTATGAACACTTTCCTAATGATATCTGCAAATTTTCCCTTGGTTCAAGTGGGCCTTCCTCTGGAAATGCCATGGATTATTGAAAATAATGGAAAAGGTTTACTTCTAATTTTGATACATGTTCCCAGCAGTCTCCAACCCATATTCTTCCCACCAAGCACTGACCACTACCAAAAAAAGAGCCAGAATATTCATTGAACGAGTATTTTTTGTGCATTTGCTATGGACCAGGCATTCTTTCAGGCACTGAATATTATAGTAAATGTAGCATCAGTTTCAAGTTGAACTCAAGGTCATTTCAAAATGAGGATGAGGAGATAAAGAACCATGGGTTACATCTAAATTGTATACTAAATATGAGGTCAGGGAAAAAAATAAATATTATGTGAGATTTCTGCAAAGTGGTAGTGAGCCTCAGAGTTAACCTAGATACAAATTCCAGTTCTATCATTTATTGGACGTTGATCTTGTTTTTCTTAATTGTTTTTTTATTTTTTTTGAGAAAGAGAGTTTTGCTCTTTTGCCTGGGCTAGAGTGCAATGGCATCATCACAGCTCACTGCAACCTCAAACTCCTGGGCTCAAGCAATCCTTCTGCCTCAGCCTCCCAAGTAGCTGAGACTACAGGTGTGCACCACCACACTCAGCTAATTTTTCTGTGTTTTGTTGATGAGGTTTCACTATGTTGCTCAGACTGGTCTCAAACTCCTGGCCTCAAGAAATTCTTATACCTAAGCCTCCCAAAGTGCTAGGATTACAAGCCACCACACCTGGCCAAGATGTTGATCTTGGATGATGAATTATCCTCCAAGCCTCTCGCTTCATCTGTAAAATGGGAGTAATAGTTTGCTACCTTAAGTGGCAATTGCAGCACTTAGTGAGAAACTGACACTCAGCAGATGGCAACTATCAGCCTCACATCATCCACACATAAAGCACCAAGGAAACTGTCCAGATTAAACAACCACTAACTCACAGCTGTTGCGATTCTGCCTACACAATGAGAAGCCTATGTCGATAACCTCTGTAGAATAGATGATCTATACACGGAGATATATTAAAATAATCTTTTTATCTCTGGTCTATGCCTCTGGCATCTTGTAACTAAAAGATCACAATAAACCCTTGAGTTGAATAAATGCTCTAGTATGTCAAGAAATAGTCATTAACAATAGACTTCCCCAATGAATGATTTTTTTGAAGTGCATGTTTATTAATTTCAAGTTCACAAAGCAAATCACACTAAGCTGGGATGATTTCTGCTACAAGTCCTAAGGGAAGCTCTTTTTACCAACAAATGGGAAGATTCATAGTTTGGCAACTGCTCTCTCTATGGGTCCATGTTCACAAGGCATTAGGTACATGAAACTAGCTTGTCTTCTCACACTGTTGATTTGCATGTTTTATGCAGGGTTTGCCATACAACGACACAGTTCATCCTGAAGCCTGTCTAAATTTTAACACATTTTTCTTTTAATTTTTAAAAACAAATTTTGGCTTTATTGAGGTATGATTGACAAAAAAAAATTATTTATATTTAAAAGTATACAATATAATTATTTGATATACATATACATTCTGAAATTATTATAATTAAGCTAATTAATGCATCCATCACCTCACATAGTTACCCTTTTTATTTTAACACATTTTTCTTAATAAAGCTCCACTCTAGTCTCTGTACTAATCCAAAGACAGGCAAATTCCAAAGTGATTTTAATCAATTAGAATCATTATCTCAGGAAGCATGAAATTTTCTTGTTTATGGTCTCTCGAAAGGAAATACATTTGACTGTCAGTCTTGGTTTGGGGAAACTATTGCACCAAGGCAGGGGCTAAAATAAATGCCCTTTAGTTGAGCAACCATTGACTCTCCTACTGGAGGTTGGTGGCTAGACTTTCAGGAAGTTCACAGGTTCAGACAATTCAAGTGGGTCTTTGAAAAATGGGCCAAATGACTGCTGTCCAGTATAGAATGGAAACAATGAATGTGTGAACAACAAATCACCCTTATCTGCTCATTAATGTAAGTCCCCCAAGGACTGTGTGTAGACAATACTGCAAACTTAAGTTGGATTAGCTAGATTGGTTGTTACAAGAACATAATAAAAAGGCATTTCTTCCAATAAGTCTCTTTTTCATGTAGCTTTTTAAATAAATGCATATATACACAAAAAAGAAAACCCTTTCTCTCCACTCTATGAAATATGACCACAAACTATATTCTTCACTCCAGATCCCTCTACACACTATCACTATCGAAGGCTTAGGGAAGAAAATAACCTCAACTTCGAATGTTCTCTACGTTTCTCCTTGAAGATTTGTTCTTAGCAGCAAAAAAATTCTCTATTTGGCATATTAAACTTGCAGCATTAGAAGTAACTTTAGCAAGAAACAGAGTTAAGTCAAATATCTTACAGTAGTATAACATTATGAAGTTTACAAGTATTTTCACTTTGATCATTCAGTAAGTACTCACCTGGCCACTGCTAGTCAAGTTCTGATGGGGCACACCTGAGATGCAAAGGAAAGGTGGTCCCTATCATCAAAGGGCTTGCAGCCCACCCTTGAGACAGAGGAGGTGTTATGATTCTATCCACTTTATGTGCAGGAGGTTAAGGGATTTGCCTAAAGTCACACAACCAGAAAGAGCCAGAGCTAGAGTTAAAATTGAGGTCTTCTCTTCACTAAATACTGCGTGTGTTCCATTCTTTAAGGCTACCTCCATGCTCTCTGACTGGAGAGACTTTGACTCTCACTGATAGAGACCTTCTTCGTGTAGTCAAGCACTAGAAATTTGGTAGAGGGAAAGTTTAGCACCATCCAATATGGCAGCCATGAACCACATGTGGCTGTTTGGAGCATTTGAAATGTGGTTAATCCAAAGTCAGATGTGCTATAAGTATAAAATATATGCACAATTTCATAGCCAAAAAAAAGGAATGTAACTATCTCTTTAATAATTTTTAGGCCAGGTGCGATGGCTCACGCCTATAATCCTAGCACTCTAGGAGGCCAAGGAAGACGGATCGCTCGAGGTTAGGAGTTCAAAACCAGCCTGAGCAAGAGCAAGACCCCTGTCTCTATTATAAATAGAAAGAAATTAATTGGACAACTAAAAATATATAAAAAAAATATTAGCCGGGCATGGTGTCACACGCCTGTAGTCCCAGCTACTCGGGAGACTGATGCAGGAGGATCGCTTGAGCCCAGGAGTTTGAGGTTGCTGTGAGCTAGGCTGACGCCACAGCACTCTAGCCTGGGCAACAGAGTGAGACTCTGTCTCAAAAAAAAAAAAAAATTATAATAATTTTATATTGATTATATGTTAAAATGATATGCTGGTTATGTTTTTTCAATAAAATACATCATTAAAATTATTTTCACCTGTTTCATTTCACTTTTTAATGTGACTATTGGAAATTTTAAACTATATAAATATGGCTTGTTTTATATTTCTATTGAACAGGACTATTATAGACTGTAACTTGGCTTATTTTTACTGACCTTAAAAAAGATGAGAGAAAAGCAGAAGACCGAAGGGGAAGTCAAAGAAATTTGAGGCATGAGGGACTCAAGGCACCATCATTGGCTGAAGACAGGCCACATAAAGGGACCTCAGTCCTACAACTATAAGGAACTGGATCCTGCCAGCAACTTAAAAGAGGTTGGAAGTAGATTTCTCCCCAGAACCTTCAGAAAAAACCATAACTCTGCTATGTTGCTAACCTTGATTTTAGCCTTGAGAGATTCCTTAGCAGAGAATCTGGCCAATCCAACCAAGACTTCTCACTGAGAGAAATGAGAATAAATGCATGTTGTTCCTCCCGCCCCACCCCACCCCCAAAAAATGCGTCTGAGGAGCAGAAAATAGACATATTCCTGTGAAAAATTCTATGCTGACTGAGATAACCCAATGGATAAATGGCAGAAACAAAGATCTGATGAAGGAGTCTTATGTTCACACTCATCCAAGCTTTTTCTTTTTTTCTTCTGTTAGAGATGAGGTCTTGCTATGGTGCCCAGGCTGGAGTACAATAATTATTCACAGGTGTGATCTCACTACTGATCAACACAGGAGTTTTCACGTGCTCTGTTTCCAACCTGGGCCGTCCACCCCTCCTTAGGCAACTATGGGGGTCCCCGGCTCTCAGGATAGTAGGGACACCCCATGGGCAGAGCTCACTGCAGCCCAGAACTCCCGGGCTCAAGCCATCCTCCCGCCTCAGCCTCCTGGGTAGCTGGGACCACAGACACACACCACCATGCCGGCCCAGATCTTTTTCTTTCTCCCATGCAGAAACCACCTCTTAAATGCTCCAAGGAAGGCTGTCGTCAAAATGGTTTCCCTTACAGGACCCTGAATAAAATCAGAATCTCCAAATCAGGCAAGGTCAACCCTGCAGAACTGCCAGCTTAACTCTTCAGACCCAGAACATTCCAACAAGCATCTAAACGTGAAGGAGAAGCACCAATCCAAAGAGAACCGCTGAGGACTGAAAACGCCATTTCTAGATAAGGGTTTAGCGCTGTTCTCTATGTGCACACAGCTAATTTAATCCCTGGACCGTGCAGGGGGGGAAAAAAAATGAAAGAATAGCAATTCTCAAAGCATTTTAATCCCGTTGAGATAGTCTGAGGAGGGAGCTTCTCACACTTAGATGCCATATGGAAGAACATCAATGCACTTTCATTAATAATTACTCTAAAATAGCTTTGGCTCTAATTAGTGACACTTGAAGCAATCATCATAATAATTTGTAGTTATCAAATTTCCATCAAAGAATAAGACAGATGCAAACATTTAAAACCTGGAAGGGGAATCAGTTGTGTCATTTGTTTGATTACAGGTCACAAAAAAAAAAATCTGGTATAGAAAGTTAAGGGCTTAATATTTTCTTCAGATAATCAGAAATCTGCAAGTGGGCCACCCCTAGCTTGTGTTGCTGTTCTGGACTGCCCTCAGGGACCCGCGCTCGCTCTCTAATCTGCAGACTGACATTTCGCTCGTAGATTCTCATCCCCAAATCCGTTGTTACCTGGCGGCTGCAAGATGGCGGCCGAAGGTCCAGGGAAGCTGCCGCTCCTTCTTCCGGAAAGCAAAAGCCTTCCCAGAATCCCTCAGCTCACATCTCATTGGCCAGAGCTGTGTCACATGACCAATCCTGAGGCACGGGAGGCTGAAGGAGCAAGTGTTTTCAGCTGGGTCCTTGCTACTTTGAACTAAAACGGGGATTCTTTTATTAAGGGAAAGGGGGCTGCAGTTTGGGCGGGCAGTTGCATTTCTTGCAGCAGATCTGGACAGTTTCTCTAATCACCTTAGGCACAATGAACCCCAAACAACTGATAACACTGACCTTTGACGGGCAGGAAAAAGTTGAAGAAGAAAAGCACAGAAACTCCAAAGAACCCATCGGATTTCCGGTGAGAGGCACATGGGAGTGAGCGCTATTTGTCGACTAAGCACGTGAAATCAGATCTTTGTTCATTTTGATGATAGTTTGTAAAACAACTGGTACAACCAAATTTGAATAATAATGAGCTGTTCTAATGAGTATCAGAATAATATTGAGCAAATAGCATTTGATCATAAAAGGGCATCTATGAGTTGAATGTCCAGGAAAACAATTTGTAAGGGAAGAAAGTAAAGGGAATCACATGTTTACTGTCTTCCAAATGGCCTTCCTAACAAATTTAACCATTTCCCCCGAGCCAATGAATATATAAATAAGTCCCTTCCATTCTGCTGATTAGAAAGGAGTTAGTTGAATCACTGAAATTTTACAAATATTGTGAACCCACCAGGAGGAAATGACATCACCCAGCCAGCCATGCATCCTAGGGCTTTGTGAGATGTGCCCAGGAATGTGACTAGAGATATCTCTATTTCTTGAGCACCTTGCAAGGGAGACTGGCCTTAGAGCAATGTTTTTTAAACTATAGATCTTTCAAACAAATTGTGAAATTAATTTTTTAATAGAAATGGAACAGAATAGAGTAAAATGGAGTCCATTATGTGCAGTAAGGTGGTACTATTCCAGAAACTTCCATTTCAGCTATATGTGTATGTGTGTGCTGGGCACAGCAAAACGAATTTATTTTTGTGGGCTGTGGTCCAAAAAGTTTAAAAAGCCACTGCCTTAGCAGTTTCAGAATGCCTACAGGAGCCATTAGCATATGTCACCAAAAAAGAAAATGCAGCCTTAAAAACAGCACAAGAACTCCCAACAAGAAATGAGCCCAAGGCCAGGCGTGGTGGCTCACACCTGTAATCCTAGCACTCTGGGAGGCCAACGTGGGAGGATTGCTTGAGCTCAGGAGTTCGAGACCAGCCAGAGCAAGAGTGAGACCCCGTCTCTCTATAAAAAAATAATAAAAAATAAATAAGTTAGATTTCAGTTTCTTGAGCAAAAAAGTATATAAAATTATATGTAAAATTTTATTTTTAATTAAAAATAAAAATAAATAAATAAGTAAGTAATAAAAGAAATGAGCCCAAGAAAATGGAAATCAAATACAGGGTAATGCAACCTCCCTCCCCACCTTGGATTGTGTAGAAAGCAGCAGAAGTATGAAAAATGAAAGAATGGCAAATGCTTGTCCTATCATAACTAATCTTAAATCGTGGTGATTTGAAGAAGATTTGAGACCTGAGAACAAGAAACAAGGAAGAAATGGCACCCAGAAGGGAACAACGCCAACCTGAAAAAATTTTAGAAAAGCAGGAAGCCTGCAATTCTGACCCGCCATCTATGAGAGGTGCTACCTAGCGAGAAAGATCAGTAGTTAAACAAGACGATACTTGCAAAAGTCACATGTAATTAGTTGTGTTTATATGCCTAAATTAACAGTTACTGCTTTGTGTTGTTTTTATTCTTTGCGAGTAATTACTTCTGTTGTTTTCTAAAGTCACGAGTTAAAGAACACCGTCAGGAACTTTTAATGAAAAGGCCTGATGGGGTGGACCTGATTTGTTTTCCAGAATTTGCCATAAGGATGATTGCTCAGCAAACAAGGGCTCCATAGCCCGTACCCTGGTACTGATCATCTCACAAATGGCACTCGAACAGGAAGTGGCCCTGGACAAGAACTGTCTGTTGTTTGCATAAACCATGTGAGCGCTCCAGAAAGGTTGAGGATCTGGTGCCCCAAACCCATATTCTGTAAACATTTGTTCAGTATTTATTTACTTAGCAACATGGAATCTTCTACCTCCAAACACTCATACCGACTCAGCAAATGCAAAGCCATAGAGTTAACCGGACCCATCCCCTTGAAGGCAAGGCCAACCCTTGCCTCAAGCAGCCTCTCGCCAATATGGTATTCTCCCTGAGATAAATTTTATAAAATAGTTATCTCCATCTTATCATATTTCCAGTGATTTGTTGACTTCCTCTTTTAGTTGGACCCAGCCCAGCCTGCACCTTGGTCTTTCTCTCTCTCTCTCTCTCTCTCTCTCTCTCTCTCTCTCTCTCTCTCTCTCTGAATATTCCCACCATGTGGGTAATGGCGCTTGCATGAAACAAGAAAGTCACTGATTGTCAACAGTCCACAGTGACCCTTCTTGCCATTATCACCATGGCACTCAGGTAGTACCACTCTCTCCCCCTTTCACAAATTCGGCCCTGCTAGGCTTTCTTCTCCCCCTGGTACTCCCATGACCAACCTTTAGCTGCATAAAAATGTTTACAATACAAAAAAGGAAACCTATGATTCGTGCAAGTTCTAAAGAAAGCCTTAGCTATTAGCCCCCTTGAGAAGGCTGTATTTCCTAAAATAAAACAAAATCCTCTAAGAATCCTGAGAAAGTATAAAACTCCTTAAGTAAATACCTAAGTGAACTTTGGGGGAAAAAAA